CCTATGCAGTTGGTTATTACCATCATCACCATTGTTCAAATGCGGACAAACCGTGCTGAAGAGGTAAGTGACTTCTGCAATGACAAACCAGTATGTGGTAGAAGTGGGATATAAACCCATGTGGTCTGACCTCAGAACCCACAGTCTTAACCAAGATCTTTTACCACTTCCTAAAACGGACTCTCAAGAGCTAGTAAAAGTAATTATTAAGCATAGTTCCTGGCCTCAGAGCATTTACAGACTGATTAGGGAAATGGATAAATGGATCCAATGCACAGGAAAATATACCTATACATGTATTATTACTAAAGGTGTGCATTCATCACTTCAATTACACAAAGTCATGTGTGTGCATGCGCACACGCAGGCACATTAATACACATGTGCTGGAGAATCAATGCAATGACTCAAAAAGAGGATTGTGGGAATTCAATTTTAAAATATGATAATACACAATAGCCAAAGGGTGGAAACAACTCAAGAGTCCATAAACAGATAAATGGATAAACAAAATATGATCTATACATACAATGAAATTTATTACTCAGCCTAAAAAAGAATGAAATTTGGATACATGCTACAACATGGGTGAACCTTGAGGACATTATGCTAAGTGAAATAAGCCTGTAATAAAGGGACAAATACTGTATGACTGCACTTACAGGAGGTCCTAGAATAGTTAAATTCATAGAGACAGAAAGTAGAGTGGTAGTTGCCAGGGGCAGAGGGTTGGGGAGAGAATGGGGAGTTCATATTTAATGGGTTCAGAAGTTCAGACTGAAATTATAAAAATTCTGGAGATGGATGGTAGTGATGGTTAGACAATAATGTGAATGTACTTCATGCCACTTGTGAGGCTAAATTTTATGTGTAACTGGACTAGCCATGGTGTGCCCAGATTAAACATTATTTCTGGGTGTGTCTGTGAGAGGTTTTTCTGGACGAGATCAGCTTTTGAATTGGTGTACTAGATGTAGCTTGGCATCATCTAATCCAGGTTAGGGAACATCCCAACCTGCAGGCCATATAAGGCCCAAGAAATCATTTGGTCTGGCCCTGCCTAGGCATTAGGGGTGAGTTAATTAAATGCTTGACCAAATATAGCAGGCTAATTTTTATTTGATAATTTTGTATGGACCTTGAATAATGTTATAAATATCTAAATAGCCCTTGGCAGACAAAAGGGTCCCCACCCCTGATCTAATCAGTTGAGGGCCTGAACAGAATAAAAAGCGGAGGAAGTAGATATTTGCCTTTTTCCTGCCTCACTGCTTGAGCTGAGACACCCGACCTCATCTTCTACCCTCAGATTAGGATTTACACCATCAGCTCCCCTGGTCTTCAGGCCTTTGGACTGGGCTCAGAGTACACCACCTGGGTCTCCAGCTTGCAGATGGTAGACAGTGGGACTTCTCAGCCTTCATAATCACGTGAGCCAATTCAATTTATACTATACTAGAGGCTCAGTGTACGAAATTCATGCACAGGTAGGGCCCCTAGGCCTGGCCGGCCATCAGGGCCAATCTGTAGAGCGACCCACAGGGTGATCGGGGTTCCCCATTTGCACCCGCCTTGGCTGGCCTGGTGCCACCCACTTGCCAGCTCCATCCCCCCTGCCGCCGCAGCCGCTAGTCAGGGCCTGCAGGCTGGGGGCAGCTCCTGTGTTGAGCGTCTGCCCCCTGGAGGACAGTGCACATCATAGCGACCAGTCATTCTGCTATTCGGTCGATTTGCATATTAGGGTTTTATATAGATAGATATAAAATATGTGTGTGTGTATCCTATGGGTTCTGTCTCTCTGGAGAACACTAATACACTACTAAACTTGGTCACTTAAAAATGGTTAAAATAATAAATGTTATATATTTTTGGCACAATAAAAAATTAAGAAAAAAAATGCTGGTGGTGATGGTGATAACCACTGAACCTTGGAGTTTTTGTCTTTGCTCTAACCAGTGAGGAACAGAGAGTGGTAACCCAAGCAGCCTTGTTGGGATGTGCAACAGGGAAGAAGGCAATTCTGGGGGCAGGGGGATTTATCCTTTTGTATTTAAAGCCCCCTTGAAAATGATCTGAGAACAGGCCTTCTATGTTTTGAAAGTTTATTCCCCATTAAGTGAGAATACTCAAGAAGGTAAAGGAGATCAGCCCTTCCGGTGTTTGCCTGTCCAGAGGAGGAGTGCTGGGGTCCTAAAGGTGGAACTGGGGGAAAGAAAGAGATCAGGGCTCTGGATCTTTAAGATAATGGGCCACTGAACCCACGTTCCTGGCCCACACAAGTTGAGAGCCAAACAGGATGGGGGATCCTCTACAAAAATAACAAAATTACCATTTTAATATTAGTCAGATATTTATTGATCCTGTATTAAATACTTTATAAGCATCATCTTATTTCATCCTTATCACACCCCTATGAGGTTTTAGGATTACACCCATTTTACAGAGGGAGGAAAGTGAGGCTCCAAGAAGTTAAGAGAAGTGCTCACAATCACTATGCTAGTGAGCCAGGATCTGAATCTCTATGATCCAAAACCTCTTTTCTTAACCACTATAGGATACCATTTTCTTTGGACTCTTGAATACAAAAAACTCATAGGAAATCTCATTGTTGGGAGTGAATATTGCCCCAAAAGCCAGTATTTATCCAAACAACATGTTTATGGGCCTTAAATGCCGAGTGATATACTAATTCCTGATCCCTATCCACAAAACACAAACAAAAAGGCTCTTTTTTAAAAAATTATAGAAAAATATTTACTGATGTCAGAGTTGTTTACAATAAATAATGTTAAATGACAGAAATAAATGGAATATATCATATGACAGACACTATTTTTGTAAAAATGTCAATATATCTATAATAATAAAAGCATAATGTGCTAATTAGACCGGACATCCTTCCAGACGACCTTCCGGATGAAGCCGGGGCTGCGAGGGAAGCTCAGGTCCTGGGTGCCAGAGGGAAGCTGGTGACGGCAGCTGGGGGAAGGAAAGCCTACTCTTGCACGAATTTCATGCATCGGGCCTCTAGTGATTATATAATTGGATAGAAATGTGAATATTCAAATACCCAAATGGCAACTATGGTTTTCTCAGAGTGGTGTGATTATAAGAGAGTTTTATTGTGTTCTCCTTACTTCTATGTATTTATTATATTGAGCATGTTTTCTTTTTTCTAATTTTTTTCAATTACAGTTGACATTCAATATTATAATAGGTGTACAGGATAGCAGTTACACATTTATATAACTTACAAAGTGATCCCCCCAAAAGGTCTAGTACCCTTCTGACACCATATATAGTTACCACAATATTTTTTTACTCCATTCCCTATGCTGTACTTTATATCCCCGTGACTATTTTGTAACTGTCAATTAGTACTTCTCAATCCCTTCACCTCAAAGAGGCTGTTCTTGAGTAAGGATCACAAGTGTTCTCTGGGCTCACTTGGGGGTCAGTTTCAAGCTTAGCGTCAGCCAGAAAACTTTGTTAAAACAGCAAGCTTCCCTCTTTACCACTCCTCTCGTGAAACCAGGCAGGACTGCTATTCCTAATAGGCCAACAAGGTATCATTTTAAATTGGGCTTTCAGAGGCCATTTAAGGCAGGAGCAGAAAATTCTTCTGAAAAAGACCATCTGAACTAAAAAGAAAAAATCAATTGGGATCACATAGGTGGGAAGGAACTTAAATTAGGGGGTTTTTTTAGAGTAAGAAATATGAAACATCTCTCTTGCCACAGTATTCGAAAACAACCAATAAATATACACATATTTTTTAAAATCATTCTTCAGTTATAAATCTACAGCCAATTAAGGGAGAGGACTGGAGGAGGTAGAGTGTGACAGAGAAGGAAAGGAAGAGGAGGCACCTCCTCACACACAGTTAATGCCATGCTTTGGAAAGGACTAGAGACCTCATTTTACAGGGCGAGGTCCTGGGGAACACCAAGATGCTGTTGTTGTTGTTACTGTTCACTAAAGAAATTTTAGACATTACAGAAGAACATAAAAAAGAACAAAATCAGCCCTGGCCTGGTGGTTCAGTTGGTTGGAGCATTGTTCCATGCACCGAAAGGTCACAGGTTTGATTCCTGCTCAGGGCACATACCTAGGTTGTGGATTGGATCCCCAGTTGGGAGTGCACAGGAGGCAACCAATTGATATATCTATCTATCTATCTATCTATCTATCTATCTATCTATCTTAAACTCAATAAAAACATATCCTTGGGTGAGGATTCAAATAATAATAATAATTCTAAGCAATGTTGCAATTTTGCAACTCTAGACTAAAACGGCACTGTATCTCGGCATTTTCTACATGGACCAGTTTCAATCATGCTGACAGCTGAATCAATCCTGTGGCCAGGAATTTCCCACTTCTGTTTTTTGGGGTGTTTTTTTTTTCTTTGTTATTGAAAGTATTACATATATCCCCTTTTCCCCCCCACTGACTTCTTCTAACCCACCTCTACCACCAACCCTCCCCCGCCCCCCGCACCCCAGGCCTTCACCACCCTATTGTCTGTGTCCATGGGTTATGCACTTCTGTTTTAAAGTGTCTCTTCAGCCAATTGGTCACATACCAGATGAAAGTGTAGTTCCAAATCCCTCCAGCAGCCCCCCGGTTAGCACCAATCACACTGTTTTGCATCAGACTTAGCCGAGAACAGGAGTGTTTCCCCCACTCTGCTGTAAACTCCAGGCCCCATTCACCTTTACATGGCTGCCTTCAAACACGTCCAATACTCATCTTCTATCATTGGTTCACACTGTTTTTAAAATCTTTCACACACCCAGGTCCCTGCCTAGGAAGTCATATGTCACAGCACTTCAAAGTGAGAAGGATCTGACATCTTGGGCAAGCTCTTTACCCAAAGTCCCTACGACGACGCCTCATCTGTAAAAGAGGGGTGATGATACCTCCCTGAGAGAGTTACTGGAAGGACACAGTTAGATAACTCACAGAAAAAAACACATAATACATAATAACAAACCCACCAAAAAATTGCTTAATCCTCTACCCACTGGAGGAGATTAAAGAATCACACAGCTGCCTTGCTCATCTGAAGCTCATCCAGGTCCTGAATGCCTGGGCAGAGACTCAGAGCCTTCACGGACTGCACCAAACCACTGAACCTCAAACCAAGGGTAAGGGAGGTCTGGCAAAGCTTGACTTGGATGGCAGGCGGGCAGCTGGTCAGCATGGAGCCACAGAAGCTCTGGATCAGCTGTGAACAAAGGATTGAGGACATGCTTAGGGAAACCAAAAAGCAGCAGCCTGAAATCAACCCAACCAGGGCACTAAGACCAAGCAGGGAAACCATTCAAGGTGCCACTGGCTCCTCCCAACTGGGAGCCTGGAAGCAGGTGACTGGTAAAACCGCAGTTCCCTAGCTGACCCTGGACAAATCTACTATTGTTCATCCACGATGCTGGGAGTTGAGTCACCGTGGCATTGTCCAACAGCGCTATCAGGAGGAAACAGCTGGAGAGACTAACTCGAAGTGCAGGAAACCTCAACCTCCACCAGAGCTCCCCTCGGGGGCTCCACCCTGTATGGGAGGTCCAGCATCCTGCCTGCCTGGCCCTCAGGGACCCCTGACCAACCCCGGAGGCATCTACAGTCTGAACAGACATCCCTATTTCCTGCCTCCGTTTGCCTGGGGCAAAATACTAGCTCTTTGTGTAGCATTTTGGCAATTCTCCTAGGGGAGAAGAGGTGAGATCTCCAGGTTTCAACACTCCAGTAAATAGAAGCCAGGGTGCAAGAAACCTGGCAGTAGAAAAAAAAAATTACACCAAATTAATTTGAAAAGGACATACCATATGACAAGGAGATGGATTTTCCCTGGACTAAAAAGATGAGCAGGTAGATGCCGCCTCACTGCAACAGCACCGTGGGACAGGGCTAGATGCTTAAACCTTTCTGAAAGAGGGATTCTTGCCAACTTCCTCATCTAGAGACCTGATGAAGATCTCCTATGTTCCAACAGAGGGCCCAAGAATCCCTGCTGGGATTTAGAAACAACTCAGAAAAGCAGCAGGGTGGTCATGGTTTAAAGTCCTAGAGAGCTGCGTTTGACTCCTGCCTCTAACAGAGTACTGTGTGACCTACGTGGTGGGAGTTACAGTGCAGCCTTAAATCAGGTGATACCAGCTGGGCATACGGGCACATTCCCACGTTGTGCCAAGACTGAGGGGTCAGGGAAGCACAGGCCCCGTGGCTGAGACTCAGATCCAGCCAATAGGTGCCACAGGGCAGTACGTCAATGTAATTAGGTCTGACAACAATAAACAGCCAGAAATCTCTCTTTTTATGAAATCTCTTCCGTGTTTAAATGTTGATTCTGATAAAACATCAACTGGGCCCAAACAAAAGACATCTGTGGAGTGGATCTGAACGAGGGCCACTGAACTGCAACCTCAGCTCAGGACCTTAGGTTCCTCATCTATAAAATGAGGGTGAATAAAAGAGCCTGGTGTTGGGAGGATTCAATGAGATTAGGCCTGTTAGGCGCTTCCCGCTGCCTGACACTAGAAAGCACTTGACAAATGGCAACTGTCAACGAGGCAGAGCTGAAAGAGCCTTGGGAAAGATCCACCCAACCTTCTCGTTCTATTAAAGAGGAAACTTCAGAGAGGTCCTGGGACTGACCCATGACCTGCAAATAAGCCAATGGCAAGAGTCCGACTGGACCCAGATCCCAGACTCTCCCTGTTAATGGACTCAGTTTACCACGGACAGCCCTGCAATTGTCCCTCATTGGTGCTGGGCTCACCAAGGTAAGTGTGCTGTACACACCTTTGTTACATCCACAAAACTCAGCCTCACACCAGGCAGGTGACCAGGCGCACTACTCAATGTGAACTGGTCCGTGGATGTGCTCCTCCTCCCCCCTCTGCCCTGTAGTCCAGTTTACATTATGTTCCATGGACCGGGCCCTGTGCCAAGCTCAGCTCCCTTACCTATCACCTACCCCAGCCTAGTCTGGGTGGTAAGGGAAGACTAGGCACAAAAGGATGGGGGGTGACATCAACAGGTAGAGAGGATGAGGATGGGACAGAGCAGGCCTAAGTGAAAGAAGGTGGCCAGAAGGCTGGAAAGTATACTGGGGGCCAGTGTGGGCTGGTGCAGCTGGAGGAGAGGGGATAACTGAAAGGCAAGGGAGGTGGGAGAGTGGGCTGGGAAGGAAGGTTGTGGCTGCTGGTACGCAAGGGTCCCTAAGCTGAGGGGGCTCTGGACCAGCTGGCCTGCTGGGTTTCTGCCACACAAAGGTGCTAATTAGGCAGCCTGGGGCAGGTCCCAAAGCACTGAGCTGTGTTCCCTTAGGTACATGAGCAGCCAAGGTTGTATCCTGTCCCCAGACCCTAGGGGTATCCTGTTTGAACTTGTCCTTACTGTGAAACTTTCCACCCTTGATGTCTCAGGAGCCCTGGAATTTCTCCCAGCTCCTTCCAAAGCATGCACTAAAGCTTTCTAATTAACATGAGCTGAAAAGTAAACCTTAGCTTTAAAACGGCAACAGGGGAAAGAAAGAGAGCTTGGGTTCTGTATTTCCTAATGGAGTCATCTTAAGTTGTAGAACTTTGTAGGCTGAAAGGACTTGAGGGACCATCTGGTACAAACCCCTCATGTTACAGAGAGGCAGGGAGGTCCAGAACAGGGAGTGATGGGCCCAAGGTCAATCAGCCTGTCAGTGCACTGACACCAGACTCTAGGGCCCCCACAGCCAGGCCAGTGCACTTTCAGAGACAGGACAAAGCCTCAGTCACTGCATTCCATCTTTTCACCTAGGAATACCTCCAGAGCCACATCAACAGTGTCACAATATCTCACCTCCCCAAGGGGGTCTTAGAAAATCCACACTTCAAACAAAGGTCCAAAGTCATTCACACCTTTTAGTACCGGTTTCTCTCACCTGCTAAGAGCTCACTCTCCTCCCAAGTCACAAGAGGTAAACTGAAGGGAGGGAAGAAAGACATGGAAGTTTCTGGCCACCAGAGAAGTGGATGGGATGTGTTCACCTCGGGGAGGTTCACGGGTTAAACCCACATCCCTGCAGGGCCTAGGCCGGCCGGCTGAAATGAAGGGGGACGGGGGAAGGGCTGAGACTTTGAGCAGAAAAAAGAACACACAAACATCACGTGGCTGAGAGAAAGGCTTTCACAACAATACTCCAGAAGGGCAGAAGAGAGACCTGGGAACTACAACAGTCTTTGCGGGGTCCAGAATCAGGTTTTCCAACCTGGAAAGAACATGGACTTTGGAACCCCCAGATTTGAGTTTAAATCCCTTCTCTGGCACATCCCACTACATAACTTGGGGGGAGGGGGGAGAGCAGTAATGAGCCCCTTTGTTTTCCTCATTTTATAAAATAGATGCATAAAGAAAAGCATTGAGCAATGGTTATTCATGTCATTGAGACTTTCTTCCTGATATTAAACCATCTCTTGCCCCTTTGTAAGTATCCTGAGAGCAAAAAGCATAGCTGCTTGTCCACCTGGGGTCAGAATGAGCCTGGAGAAAGTTCATGTGTGACTGACTTTCTAAATCACATCCCACCTCCTCCCCTGTGGGTGATATAACCCAAGGGGCATGCGTCTGATCAGCATGGAACTGCTCACAGCACCCTAAGGAGGGTGTGCAGCTCCATTTCATCCCACTCCAAACCACAGAGGTTTCTGATGGCCAGTCCAATACCTCTGCCCCGTGCCCCGAGCTCTCCCATACCACCCACCACAGTTCTGCCTTTGTACCCAACTTGCCATGCTTAATAGATGTCACCTGACATGATTCACATTTCTGGAGGGTGCTGGGAGAAAGAAAGTAGAGGATAAATGTTTTCCCACAGGTTACAAATGAGAAAGCTAAGGCAAGGAAATTAGATTGTCTGCTGCTACCTGACAGTCAGCCCAAGGCTGGTTCTCAACTCAATGGCTGGGAGTAGTGAAGCTATGTTGGACAGGAGTGGTAGACAGAGGCTTACGGGTTCTAAGATCAAATGCAGGGGGTTGAGCTGAGAAATTTTTAAAATACTTGTCAATAAATATAGACTGTGTGCCCTGTTCCATTAAGAAAAAAAAAAAAGTGCCCTGGCCAGTGTGACTCCGTTGATTGAGCAGCATCCTGTACACTCAAAGGTCACAGGTTCAACTCCCAATCAGGGCACATGCCCAGGTTGCAGGTTTGATCCCAAGTAGGAAGTGTGTCAGAGGTAACTGATAGATGTTTCTCTCTCATAGATGTTTCTCTCTGTCTTCCTCTCCCTTTCTCTCTCTAAAATCAGTAAAAACATTAAAAAAAATAAGATCAATAAAAACATATCCTCCAGTGAGGATTAAAAACAAAAAAAAAATTTTTTTTAAGTCCTGGCTGGGTAGTTCAGTTGCTTGGGCATCATCCCGTACATCAAAAAGCTGCAAGTTCGATTCCCAGTCAGAGCACATACCTAGCTTGCGAGTTTGGTTCCTGGTTGGGATGCATTTAGGAGGCAACCAATCAATGTAATCAATGTTTCTCTCTCTCTCTCTCTCTCTCTCTCTCTCTCTCTCTCTCTCTCTCCCCCCCCTTCCTCTCTAAAATCAATAAGCATATCCTTGAGTGAGGATTTTTTAAAAATCATTTTTTTAGATGTAGGGAATCAGGTAATCTAATAGGAGAGATAGGTTAACCATCCTCATCATCCTCATCACCACCCCCACCTGCTACATAGTGCTTTCTACATACAGTGGGGCCTTGAGTTACCAGTGTCCTGACTAACGAGTTTTTTGAGATACCAGCTGTCTCTCAGCCGATTTTTTGCATTGAGTTGATAGAGTAATTTGAGTTAACGAGCTCCTTAACGAGCTCGGTCTCGGAACGAATTAAACTCGTAAGTCAAGGCCCCACTGTATTAGGCAGGTTCTAGATGCTTTACATATGTCAACTCACTTAATATTCACGGTAACCTTGTGAAATAGGTGCTTTTTATCCCCATTTTACCGAGGAGAAAGGGGTCTTTAAGAACTTGCCCAAGGTCACGTGACTGGGGAGTGACTGCCAGGATCTGAACCAGGACATGTAGCCTTAACCATTTCCTGGGCTACCTCTCACCACACAAGCTCCTCCACTCCCAGGTCCATCCCCTTCACCTCCCAAGCCATTCGGTAACAGGCTGGCAGGCAAACTCTCAGCCCTGAGGTTCCAGTACCTGTAGCAACTGCCTCCCAAAGTGTTTCCTCCAACTGCAAGAGCCAAGGACTCAGATCTTCATGATGGGCTCCACAAATGTTCTGCCCTTGACCTCCTATGTTCCTTCTCCAGGCTGGGACAAGACACAAGAGGAGGCAGGAGCCAGAATTCTACCAGGATATTCTACTCCCATTGACTCAGAACCCAGAACAGATGGACAGGGGGATTTCTGAGTGAGTAACTAACCACAGAAGAATAAAGTTATGTAAATCAGCCTGGAACACAGAAAGAAATCAGGCATGGGCTTTCTCAGAATCAAGCTGAGCAAGTGGGAAATACCCAACACAGGCTCCAGCACTGTTCTTGCCTTGGGGCAGAGTTGGGCCTATTGTGAGTTTCTAGAGTAGACTGTTCCTGATTATAAAACTATAAGGCTTTTACCCCACAGGCAGCAGCAGAGGGACTGCTAACACATTTGGATTTCTCCCACCAACAGAAGAAAGGCCTTAGGATACAAAAATCAGACAGATAAATGAAGCTCTGATTCCTCCCCTTCCCCGTGTTCTCTTTTTGCTGAATTATTTTCCCAAAGGGCCTCCTGTCACCATCTCCCTCCTGCAGCTTCTAAAACTGAACCCAAAGGATACACCAACTGCTTGGCCTCATCAGGACAGGAGGTGACAGTGGGGGAAACTCCAATGGCAAACCCATTGGCCCATCAGGGAGCCAGGCGATGAAGACAGTCTGTGCTGCCTGCCTAGAATCAGCTTGGAACGCTGGAAGGGGAGACTGAACATGCTGCAGCTGGAATTTCAGATTTTTCGTAAGATAGAATGAAGTTATCTTTCCTGCTTGAGCATCTTCTTCAATAAAACCGTCCTGCTGGTAAAGGTGAAAATTTGTCACCCTCAAAGGCTTACCACTCATTCTGGCACTCTGTGTACATCTCCACAGGGAAGGCTCAGGCCGAGTCTAGGGAACAACAAACAAGCTGGAGTGCGTCCAAAGGCGGCACAGGGTGGTGGGGTCTAGAAATGAAGTGATCTGGGAGACAGCTGGTAGAAGCAGAGACAAGACGAAGAGTAGCTGTTGTCAAATACTTCTGGGTTGTCATGTGAACGGGGGAGCAGGCTCCCTGTCTCAGGCTCTGCCCTTTTACCCACGAGGAAATTGAGGCTTAGAGGGATCAGTATATTGCAAGGCGAACCAACAGAGCTGGTCTAAGAAGCTGGGCTGTGCCCCAGGGCCTGCATACTGACCCACTGCACTGCACACGGTGGCAAATGCCTTGGTCGTGGAAGAAGCCAATAACAAAAGACCACATATTGTATGAATCCATTTATATAAAAACTAGAGGCCTGGTGCACGACATTCGTACACTGGAGGGGGAGGGGCATGGGGGGAGTCCTCAGCCTGGCCTGCGCCCTTTAGCAGTCCGGGAGCTCTTGGGGGATGTCCGACTGATGGCTTAGGCACCTCCCCAGCTGCCAGTCGGACATCCTTAGTGCTGCCACAGAGGCGGGAGAGGCTCCCACCACCGCCACTGCACTCGCCAGCTGTCAGCCCTGCTTGTGGCTGAGCAGTGCTCTTCCTGTGGGAGTGCACTGACCACCAGGGGGCAGCTCCTGCATTGAGCATCTTCCCCCTGGTGGTCAGTGGGCGTCATAGCAACCAGTTGTTCCACCATTCGGTCAATTTGTATATTACCCTTTTATTATATTGGATGTCCAAAACAGGAAAATCTATAGAGGTGCAAAATAGATTAATGGTTGTCTAGGGCTAGGGATGAGGGAGAAACTGGGGGGATGACAATCATGGCTATTGGGTATGGGCTTTCTTTTAGGGGTGATGAATGTTCTAAAATGGATAGTGGATGCCCGGCTGGTGTGGCTCAGTACTTGAGCATTGACCTATGAACCAGGAGGTCATGGTTTGATTCCTAGTCAGGGCACATGCCCGGGTTGCAGGCCCAATCCCTTGTGGAGGGCATGCAGGAGGCAGCCAATCAATGTTTCTCTCTCAATGTTGATGTTTTTATATCTCTCTACCTCTCCCTTCCTCTCTGAAATCATTAAAAATATTTTTAAAATAATAAAAAATTTAAAAAGAACTAGTTGACTACCCTGGCCAGTGTTTCCCTTTGGTTAGAGCGTCGACCCATACCCCAAAGGGTCACAGGTTCAATTCCCGGTCAAGGGCACATACATGGGTTGCAGGTTCAATCCCCAGCCCTGGTTGTGGCATGTGCAGGAGGCAACCAATCAGTATTTCTCTTTCCCTCTCCCTCTCCCTCTCCCTTTCCTTCTCCTTCTTCCCCTTCCTCCCCACTTCCACTCTTCCTGAAATCAATGGAAAAATATCCTTGGGTGAGGATTAAAAAAAAAAGAACCAGTTGGCTATCTTAACAGATTACAGGGAACCTGATAAGAGATAAAGATTATGAATCAAGCAAGGGAAGACAGCAGCTCACAAACTCACTACCTCTTGCCCAAGATGTCACTCACTCAGTCAACAAATATTTATCAAGAACCTACTCTAGGCCACAATTTAGAATGCTCAACATCGCAGGTCAGTGAACTGGAGTCCAGAGGCCAAATCCAGCCTGCCAAGCAAAATGTGCCAACCCCTGTGCTAGATGCTAGAGCCATGGGTGAAGGAAAGGGGTGAGTGATAACAGTCAGGGTCTCCTTGTGGAGTTCACATCCCAGTGAGACAACCATACAGGTGAGATCCAATTACAATGCAGAGAAATGTTATAAAGGAAAGAACTACAGCCTGTGTGAGCTCAGAACAAGGTACTGACCTGGGCCAGAAAAGGCTTCCTGGCTGATGGATTTGACTCTAACACCTGAAAGAGCAGGAGGAAGCCACATTTACAAAGGCCCTGGAGAAACGAAGGGGTGGAGTAGGCAGACCATGTGGTCTGGTGAAGGACTAAAAGGCACCAAGGCAGCAGTACAGAGTGGTGTGCAGGGCAGCGTGCGCTCCCCCGCCCTTCCCCCGGCCTCACAGCCCCAGGTCCAATCACTGGAGGCTATGAGAACAGGGCTGAGAGTCAGCCACCTGACAGCTGACAGCGCTAACTGTGTATAAACCCTCAGCCAGATGACCTAGGAAGGCAGAGGTTGGAGAATTAATCAATGGAAAAATGTTTCTCAATCACCTAACAAAGTGTCCATCGCTTTCTTTACCCAATATCGTACAGGACATAAAATAAGAAAAAGATGCAATCTCGGACTTCAGAGAGAAAACCAGAAGTTGAGGAAACAAGCCCAAGCCCTCAGCTCTGCTACTCAAATGTAATGGCACTCACCCAGAGCCTGGAATGTACTTCCCCAGGTCTCCCAAAGGACTGTTCCCCCCATTCCTGGAGGTCTCTATCAAATGCAACATTTCCCTACCCACCCCACACAAATAACACACTTGTCTTCTCTCCTTCTCCCCGCTCCTCCAGCCCCTCTCCCCAACCCCTCCTAAGCCCCAGCATTCCCTCCCTATGCCCTGACCTTGCTTAGTTTTCTCCGGTACACTTAACTCTGCCCATTATACGTGTATCTGTTTGTTCACTGACCAGCTTACACTAGAATGGAAGCTTTATGAGAACCAGAACTTTGTTTTTTTCCAGCACTAAGATCTGACAGAGTCAGCTCTCAAATAATGGATTGTGGAATAAATGCAAACACAAAACTCTTAAAGAAAACTTAATCCATAAATGCCTTGATTTGTAACGTTGGGCAAGTTATTTCTTTATGTCTCAGTCTCCTCATTTGCAAAATAAAAATAATAAAAGTATCTACTTTGTGAGTAAATAAGGAAATGCACTTAAATGCTGATTGTTGTTATTACCATGATTATTTGTTATGGGTCTATTTTTGTGTCATGTGTTAAACATATAGCTCATTTATTTTTCATAGAAACCCATGAGATAACTTTTATTACAAGTTCCCTCTAGATAGATGAGACTAGATAAGCTGTCCAAGGTCACACAGTGACTAAGCAGCAGCATTTAAATTCAAACGAGCACCACTGGCCCTGATCCTTCCTCTCTGCCTGCCTGCAAACTGAAATGCCAACGGAGGCTGGAGAGCGGGAGACTGGCATACCCTGGAGCAGTTGGGGCGTGATCCTGAAGCAACAGGGACTCGGATTCTGTACTTAAGGACGAAAAGGACTCAGAGCAGACAAAAGTCATTCTAGGTCAAAAAAAAAGGAGGAGGGGCAGTTCTTTTCCACAAGAGACTGACACTACCGTAATACAAACAAGAGAGGACAATAGTGGAATCACAGGACTGGCACTTGGACGAAATCTGAGATGTATCCGGTCCAACCACTTGTTTTATGGAGCAAGAAACTAAGCTGGAAGAGTGATCTGTGAAGAGTTGGGAAATCAGTAGATTGTGCCTCTGTTGACGATGCTTCTGTTCTAAACTAGATGTATTTTTACTCTTATTCATTTATTTCTTCTTCAAAAGTCATACAAGTAAAACATGCCCACTACAGGCAGAAAAATTAAGCCAAATGAGGAAAAGGTTAATAGTGTCCCACCACTAGCCAAAAGCTATGTTAAACAGTTTTACATTTAACAGGTTCTGAGTTACATTCAGTGGCTTGCATATCAGAACAGAGAAGGAACCTAAATGAACTGTGCTTCTGTTTCCATTTTTGCTTCCAAGTCTGTTTGCAGTTCATTTGTTCATTCATTCATTCAACCAGCAAGCATGAGGATCTCATTCGTAACTGGCACAGTTCTAATTATTGGGATTCTGCAACAAACGTACATAATAAAATGATCCTACATCCCTTTCCCACAAAGGTTGGGAAGGATCACACCCATTGCTGTTAGCTGCCACTGCCTGTTAAAAACAAAAACAGCGGCAACTAAATACACTAACTACAGTCTGGCCCAAGCTCTCAGCAAGAAATGTGCATCATCACTACTGCCCCTATGCCTCACTAACACAGGAAAGCTTTTTTAAAGCATAAACACACAATTTCTTTTCTTTTTATTTTTAATCCTCACCCGAGGATATTTTTCCATTGACTTTTAGAGAGAGTGGAAGAGAGAGGGAAAGACAGAGAGAAATATCAATGTGAGAGAAACACGTGGGTTGGTTGCCTCCTGCATGCTCGTGCCTGGTAGGAGCCTGCAACCGAGGTACGTGCCCTTGACCGGAATTGAACTGCCCTTGATCAGAATCGAACCCGGGAGCCTTTGGTCTGCAGGCCGACGCTCTATCCACTGAGCCAAACCAGCTAGGACCATAAACCCACGATTTCAAAGAGAGCAGAAAAGGAGATAAAAACAGAATTTTAGAGACTACAGGGTCAAAGGACAAGTAAGAAACCTAAGAAAGCATTAACGTCCCAGAGCCCACAGAAGGCTGAGTAATGGCAGCAGCAGGAGGGGCTGCCAGTGGCAGGATTAAAGTCTGCTTTAGAAAGAGTCCCACATCCACCCCCCTCAGGCAGGTGACTGTACCTCCCTTACCCCAGGGGTTTATTCTTTGGAGAGGGCAAAGCAGTAGGTCTATGGGCTGAGGAAACCACACAGGGAAATAAATGCAGGGCACCACATTGAAGACAGGGGTTAAGTTGAAGTACAGGAGGCCCAGATTCCAACCCTGTCTTCCTTAGGTTCCTGGGCACAGGTTTAGTCTCAGACCATCCAGGAAGATTAGATGATTCTTCTCTAAGGGATTTACACAGCTCAAGAGAAAACACCCAAGATACTAAATGAAACAGGCCACCCAGGTCACCCTACGTGAGGCCTAGAACCCACAAATGCCACACACACACACACACACACACACACACACACACACACACACACACACAAAGCTTAATACCCTACACATATGCAAGCAGATTACCAGGACCACTAGATTTCTGGAGAAAGCCTGTCACAGGAAAGACAGGGAAAACACACATACACTTTATAGGAAATGAGGAAGAACACCACTTCTTCCCAAAAATAAAGCTATCATTAATGGCCCCAGAGAAATACGAGGTAAATATTGCATCTATGAAACCAAAACAGAATGCTGTATTTAAAAAG